TGGCGGGGTGGTGGGGGGGTGTCTCCCCCTGCCCCATGGTGGTTTTTTTGGTGGTGGAGAGCACATGGGGTTGAGGGAAGCCGAATCCCACTGGCAACACCAGTTAGCATGTGGTTTGGGAGGTGGCAGAGCGGAACCCCCGAGTGAAGTAAGGTGCCCAGGCTCGAGATGGCAAAAGAGCTCCAGGGAAAAGCCAGGCAGCCGGGCAGCTTCCTCCCTCCTGCCCACTGGATCCGCCGAACCTTGCTGTAAGCACCTCAAGTGCTGAACGCTGCCAGTGGCAGGCGGGCCGCCCGGGCGCCGGGGGGCAGGGGGGGCAGGGGTGCAAGCAAGGTGCCTGCACCAGCCCTGCTTGGGGCTACTGGCCTCGCTCAGCCCCTGCAGCCCACCAGTGCCCCACCAGAGCCACGCCGCAGGAATGGGGGGGGGCTGTGGGTGGTGCTGGGGTGCGAGGGCTCCTCAGCCTCCCCTCAGTGATGGGGACCAGGCTCCAAGAAAGACACAAAGCACAGAAGGGTGCAGCCGAGTGGCCCTGTAGGTTTTGGGAGTCTTACTAGGCTCCCAGGATGGCTGTGCTGCATGGCGGTGTGGCAGTGTCATGGTGGTGCGTGGAGCTGGGGTAGCTGACAATACGGAGAGATCTGCCTGCACACAGCAGGCAGGGCAGGGCTGGCAGCAGGCAAAGCCTCCGTGGCATTTCGGCTCACCCCAGCGCTTCCCAGCCTTCCGTTACCTGCTCAGGCTCCATCTGCTCCAGGGTATCGCTGTATACATCCCCCTCGGAGTCACTGGTCACCTGGCTACCCTCAAGTGCCTCGGCGGCAGGAGCCAGCCCACCTCCTGGAAGGGAAGCACACGGCCCAGCCCGGGCAGTGCCGGCGGGGCAGAGAGGTGTTTGGGCCATGTCCAAAGGGCAGCAGAAGCTCAGCACAGCCGCGAGGCAACAAGTCTGCAAGCAGGCAGGAAGGCAGCGTCTGTGTGCGTGAGGTGAGGCAGGAGAAGGAAACCGAGGCACGGAGGGGGAAGAAACCATCTCTGTTACCACTCCCTGGATCGTGGTCATGAATCCAAGAACCAAATTCCCCCCTTCTCCTGCCCATGGTGTCGCAGAGCCCAGCTCATGGGCAGGCACGCCACGACATGGTGCCATTTTAGGGCAGGTTCCTCTGCCCACATGCTACTCCCGCCTGGGGAGAGGGCTGCCGCAGCAGCCAGCCGAAACCCCGGGGCAGTGGGGAGCCCCTCCAGCGGGATCCACAGCCCCGGCTGCTCTGGCAGGGAGCAGATAGTGTTCGCACAATGGCAACTGCCACCGGAGTGACAGCGTGCCCTGCCACGCAGGCAGGGATGCTGCCCAGTTCCCCACATGCTGGCAGCCCAGGCGCTGGAGGATGGGCACGGCCTGGATGCAGGCACTCACTTGGTGACCGTATATGCTCCCCGGGGGAGGGCCAGGCTGGCAGCGGGAGGAATGCCTCCCCGGAGCCCCCTACCCAACCCCGGGCAATGCAAGAGCCCTGGAGAGCCGCGCGTGCCCTCGAGGGAGGCACATGGAGGTGGGAGGGTGGATGGGTGCGCAAGGGGCTGTACAAGAAACACCAGGACCAAGGCGTTAGCCACGCACAGGCAGGGAGGGCCGATGCTCAGCATCACGGCGCTGGGTGACCTTGGCTTGAGCTGAGGGAGGACATCCTCTCCTGGAACATGGACCTTCCAGAGCAACGTTTTCCCAGTCCACAGGAGCACAGCTCACCCCACCCTCGCCTTCCCACTGTGGTTTAGCAGAATCAGGCCCCTTTGCACAGTAAGAGCAACACAGAGTCAAACCAACACACCCAAGGTTACCGTGGCATCGAGAACGGCACTGAGAGCTGGGCCCACGAGAAGCTCCAGCTCGCCATGACTTGGGCGATGCCTGAAACACTGGCTGGGTTGGAC